AATAGAAAATTATCAGGATGTTGGAAAATGTTGCTTCAGTACAAGTAAAGCTTTGTAAAGTTGTTTTATTCGATTTCTGGTAATTTGGTATTTTTCGGGAATTGTGCATTTTTGCAAAGACTTCTGTCTACTATACGATATTTTCAGGGGTTTTCGACATTGAGCTAGATTGTGTTTATTGATCGCAATACCTTGTGGATATGCATATGAATATGGATATGTGATTGATATACTGTTACTTTACTGAAAGACAAGTGAAGACTAGTTGAACCGTTGGTTGGAGATTATTCAGCCGACGGGCACAGAGTGACGACTCTTATTGAGCCAACGGATACGATTAAAAAATATTAAATACAAATTAGGCACACATGTCTTACATATTTTATGATTTTTTTTTAATATAATTTCTTGTATTTAAAATTTTTATTTATTTAAAATATAAAAATAAATATCTTATTTCTATCCACAACACCAAATCAATCGCCCGCACTCAATACCCCACTCATTGAATATTCTCATTTTCATTTCTCGTTGGCGGGTCACGACTTTAGTTTCACAATAATGTCTGATGTCATCTCAACATCGAAGTCTGACATTGTTACAACATTGATATTTCAAAACTATCTCAATATCAAAGTTTGACATTGTCTTAACATTAATGCTCGACACTAGCAATTTCAACACCTACAACTTGACAGGTCATCTTTGTCCAACGTCGTCTTAACATCGATGAACAGTGCCCTCTCAACATCGACAATAGACGCCCTCTTGACATCGACGCACGATACTTACTGCATAACATCGATGCTTGACTCTCAATAATATTGTTGCCTCCTCTCTCGATGCCTGATACACAACATCGACGTCTAACTCTTAATATCCTAATATTAATCATTTTAAGCAAAAATTATAATTAAATGACTTATTATTTCTAAATTATTTTTAATATTACACTTATTCAATTTTTATACGCTATTTTTAAAATATAAAAATTATAATATTATGGCTAACCCGTGTCCTATATTTTCATAATTGACGTGCCCCGTGTACGTGCCATGTCATATCTATGTCGCGGTGTCCGTATCTGTGCATCATAGCTCATCGATAGTCCCTCCTTATTTCTTCGCCTTTTCTCTCCGCACCTGAGGAAGAACCTTCACACAAGTACTCCAATACCACAAGTTTATTAGAAAAGAAGCATCAAAGCATACTCTTTGCATGCAAAGGATATCCATGTTAGAGCTAGTGAAATAATTAGTAGATTTTGGCAAAAATCAAATAGGGTTTGAAATTCATCATATAGATGACATTATAAAGGTGCCAATAGGCGAGGTGGTGGCTCACTATCATTGACTTCCCAGATAGGAAGTTCACCACCTTGGTTTCCTCTTCATTTAGTTCAAGACACCGTTGCCTTGCTTTTAAGGAAGGGGATTAGAAAATTCAGCAGTAGATGAATACAAATTTGGCCTTCCAACCCAAAGCTTATTTACTAGCTCGCTTGTCTACATCAGCACAGAGAAAAAATGCAAGCACCCATCCTTGAACTCCACTGCAAAGACGTGACAAAACAATGTGATCATCCACGACAGCTTGTGGACTAGGAGCAAAGAAATGACACTCATCACTGAGTTTGATAGTATCTGCACAAGGATGAGTCTAAAAAAGTTGAGGATTTCATCTAATACGTGACAAAGAGGTAGCCAAAGCCCCAAGTTAAAGTGGTCATAAGAGAAGAAAATCGCCTCCTTGTAGAAGGTGTTAAGGTGCTTGTCCTCAACGTGGGCGCAAACTAGCAACTCCATACTCACATAGTAGTATCTAAGGAATATAGTGTTGGCATAGAGTGTGTCACCCTCGACGATTGCTAGCAAATGGCATTCATGAAGACAAAAGTGCATTAATGCAAATTGGCCATTATAGCTATTAACACTCGCTCGGGAAGCAAGGTGAAGTGGGAAACTGCAATTGAAAGCTCATGCCCATATAGGCCTGACCAAGGGATATTTATAAGAGATGAATATGACACAATTATCAAGGTACTAGTCACATCAACAATTAATGCTAAGATTTCACCCATATTTTCATCATTACCCAAGATAAAATAGATATTTTAACTCTCCCACACGAGTGGTCATTGCCAAAACACATTTCAAATGTAACTAAGCATTACATGCAATAAATTTTACTAGAAATCTCATCTCACAAAGAGATCGCCACTGGTATGTTTAGAATCGTAGCCAACTCATCACATTCTTAAAAAAACTCACCACTCAATGGTAAATTATTAACCTGTCATAATGTCAAATAAAAAACTTAGAGCTTCTTCTCACCGGAATTATAAAATTTAGAGTATATATAAAATTAATACCGTAATAATAAAGGTAAAGTAGCTGCAGTACATGAAATTGACACAAAGATGCTTGCCTTAATACTAAAATTTTATTACTAATCAAAATTTTACAAAATTTTTTACATACATAGAAAAATAAAAGTGGAGTGAAACTATTTTGCACCACCAAAAATCATACACACTACAGCAAATGCCCTCAACAGGTAACAACCGTAACTCAAATAGATACTTCAAAAGAAATCACTCCCCTTCAATGAATAAACTCACCTGTAGGAAGCTGCGAGTTGCCACCATCTCAGCTTATAGGGCCGTAAAATCGTTTTGAAGTTGGGCATCCATCTCTGCAGCAATGTTCTTTTAAGATATGCCACCTCCCTTGCTGGAAATACACTGTAGGTTAAGAGCTTTCTCCATAACACTGAGTCACTCAACTAAGGCTGCTAGTGTGATCAACCACTATGCTGGAATTCCAACACCTAAAGAACTCAATGAAAGCAAAAAGGATAGCACTACATACGTCACAGCCTCCTTGGTCATTGGGGTCTCCTAGGTAGCAAGCTTCTCTACTATTCTTCGATCGTCCCTTACTCCAAACATGTTGGTGAGAGCACTCGTCATTGTGGGAGGTGCTCCTATGATCAATAATGAAATATTAAAAACAGAGAATTCCTTATCCAAAAATTTTAGGGACTCCAAGCAGTCTATTGTTCAGGATAGTCATCTTTATGTAAAAGCTAGTAACCCACTATGCAAATGCCAGCACCTCGAACTCACTCGGTGCATGACCAAGTAACTCATTTGAGGAGAGGCACACTATGGGCTCGCTGGTGGAGGGAAATGCTTATCCACAAGATAAAATTTTCTCTAAGGATTGGGGAAGCAGCCAACTCAGTTCCATCCGAAGTCATTGCAACCTCGTTGGAGGCCACATCTTCAGTAGCAGTTGCCTCCACTGTGAAGCAAATGCAAACTCTCTTCGCCATGCTAGTCGTCAAGGGAATGTTATCAAAACTTGAGGAGAGAGCCATTCTCCTGTGACTCACCCCTACTTTAACTTTTGTGGCAGACTCTGATGGGTCCATAGCTTTAGTAGGTAGCATCGTGAGCACCTTCATTGTACATGGTTCAAACTTCATTCTCTTCACATGGGAGAAAGCGATAGATGGTCTGAGGACCCGCCTCGGCACCCTACCATACTCATTGAGGGGTTAGGGTGCCTCTTAGCCCTATCGTCCTACGAGAAGCAAACTGCTACCCTTCTCACTTAGTTCTCAACAAAGCCAATTCGGTTGGGTTTGTCCTCTCTTCCTCGCAACATGTTAAAATGTTCAAACGTGTAAGAGCATCAACCACTAGACCACTACTTATAGGAGAAAGAAATGAGTGACATCATATAACTGTTATCATGAGAAATCGGCAAGATACCTGAAGCTACGGTTAAAAAAAAAAAGACTGTATTTTTTATTAACAACTATTTTGAATGTTTGGTAGATATAATAAATGCTCGTTCAAAATTCACTTGTCATTTTAACACTCTCCCTACAAAGGGCCAGACGAATCAAGAAACTAAATGTTACATGCCTTCTCAAGTGCCTCACGATTATTTAACAGGACCCAATAGGAAAACTTAGACTCAATAGGGCCCAACAGTGAAGACTTGTCTAAGAATGGTCGCCTTCAACCATTGTCACAACTAAGAAAATTCGCTACCTCCTTAGCTATCACATTTCTGACAGCTAAGAAATGACCCAACTTGGTAAAGATATCCAAAGAAAGTCGCCACTCTGAGAAAACCTCAGGGTTCATATAGTATTTCCCACACTTGCAGGACTCGTCTCTCAGATAGGAGAAACTCTCTTAAAGTGGAATTTTTATTGCCTCAGGTTACCTGATGTAGCGCTACATCAGGTAGCCAATAAATAGGCGACACGTGCTCTTATTATTTACCGCGAGACCCGACGACCCGACTCAGACCGGAATTCGGGATTACTATGTTCGCGTATTGCTCGGTATTTGCTCGGTATTACTATATATTACTCGGTATTGTTTGGAATTAACGAAAAATACCGCTTTGTGAAGACCAATACCGAGCAATACCTAAAAGAACTCGGTATTGCTCGGTATTGTTCTTCCCCTTTGCCGACCGACCGCAAACAGGCGGTGAAATCACTCCGACAGCTCACCAAACAAAGCCGATCCTTCCGCGCTCTCATCGGCGAAGACCCTACCGCCATTTCCCAACTTCTTTCCATTTCTATCCGCTGCCGGTGCGAAGCCATGGCGAAGAGAATGCATGTAGTAATGTGATTGTGCTGGAGGACTGGAGATTGGGCTAGAGTGATGAGAGAGAAGAAAAGTGGAGATAAAAGAGAGCGAGAGGCTAGGTTCACGGTGAAGGAAGTGACATCGAGTGGAGCTAGCAGCTTTGAATTTTATTTATATAAGAAAATAGATTTGAAGTTTATTTCTTATTTCTGGCATTATAGAAATCATCAATTTCAGACCCTACCGCCATTTCCCAACTTCTTTCCATTCTATCCGCTGCCGGTGCTGATCACGAGCTCAGGGAAGATGCCGTTACCGCATTGCTCAACCACTCCATCCATGATGCCAAAAAAAAAAACGCATTGGAGAGAGCAATGGCGTCTCCCTTCTCATCGAATCGATGAATTCGGATGCCACAATGAACACCCATGGTACGCCACCGCCGCCCTGTTCACCCTCTCTGCTCTGGACTCCAACAAGGTGCAGATTGGCAAATTGGGCGCAGACGGGAAGCCCGGCTGCCAAAAAGGATGCAGCGTCGACGATCTTCAACCTCTGCATGCTGAAGGCCGGTGCAGTGGATGATACCGAGCAAGCAATACGCAATACCGAGCTTTAATTGCGGAGATCGCCAGCAGAGGTTGAAGATACCAAGCAATACGCAATACCGAGCAATACGCAAACTCCAGGATTTCGGTCCGAGTCGAGTCGCGCAATAAAAAGTAAGAGCACGTGGCGCCTGTTTATTGGCTACCTGATGTAGCGCTACATCAGGTAACCTGAGGCAATAAAAATTCCTTAAAGTGACTCGCCATCACCTCAATCAGATAGGCAACAATGGAACCCACTAACTCATCCACAAGGAAGGGTTATCCCAACGAAAACACAAACTCACTTCCTCATGCTCAACTAAACATGAATTTCACAACCCCAACAATTCAAGTTACTTCAAATAAAAAAAACAAGAACTTCATACAAGAGGTCGCTAACATTGTCAGAGGATTCGTCGATGGTATTCTTTCCAACTAAACCCATCTAAGGACTTGTTTTCATCAACTCACCCAAGAAAACTCAACACATGGTAACGCACCCCAAGTCTGGAGAGTTGGGCCATAAAACAAATACCATTTCATGTACTTACTAAAGCAAGACACGTGTCTGGGGTGGTCAATATTAGATCTCATTTATCATTGTACCTTTTTTTTTTAGCCTTTGCCTTTGCCCCAAGATCCCCATAAATAATGGGTGAAAATGCACATTTTGGATCTTTTGGTACATCCTAGAAGTTCTACTAAGCTAGTAAAATACTTTACTCCCAAAAAACCTCTTTTTCCTTCCATACTCACCACAGGTTCTTGGGTTCAACTCTCTTAAACTTACTTGCTTGAAAGATCAGTATCATTCGCGTACAAGTTTGGATCTAACAAGTTCACTTATAGGAGGTTAATGATTGGTGTGCATTATCAACCCATTACTATACGAATAAAAATTAAACCTAAAACCTTCATGGTCAAGAGTTATATAAGATTATAAAGACGTCCCCTTTATGGTCAAAAGGTATATAATGACATCAACCACGTAGTACTTTGTCCTAATAAGTAAAAAGGTGGCTTCAATAGAATACCAATCTAAACTCCCGTCAATCAAATATAGTATCTTCTTTATCCTAATAGGTCTCACAGTTTTGTCCTCTTAATATAATTGCTCAGGAAGTCACCCATCATAGAAGTTCTCCAACACAAGCATGCTTAAGTTTAGAGTTTCTAATAAAGCTAAAATCATAAATGTACATCCATGACTGCTTGTGCAAGTAGCTTCTCACAGGTATATTATAGGTAACATTCGAGTCGAGCCGAAGGACACTCTCCTCTTTCAGGATGGTCCGTTCGCTGAGCTCTCTTAAGAGCTCGGAAGGAGCTTATTTCTGTAGCACGGTGGACCTCCTCCAACCACTTCCTCCAAGAAACTGCCCTCCCCGATGGGGGTGACCTCAAAAGTTCCATTCTTAGTTTGACAAATCCTTATTCATCTTGGCCAAAACCAAGTCTCCCATGCGAGACCTATAAAAAATCTAGCTAAAGACAGATATCTCTCTCATGAATGGATCAACACCTAGCTCAAAGATCAAAGTCAAATCATCACTCGCCCCCTCTCGCTCTAGCGAGGAGACCTTGGACCAGCTTCCTACCTCATGTCAACTTGATCTCCAGTTGCTCATAGGTACATCTCACCCGCATCATCTCATACAAGATCGCCACACTCAGCATAGTTGGTCGAGCTACATCAAAGATCAATAATACAACTATTGTATCCCGTATATATTCTACTGTAACTCTACAAGCCCTATAAATAAGGAGAGAAGGTGTAAAAGAAAAAAAATGACACAAGACGACAAGAGAAAAACACATAAACGAAGACAACAAAAGGCGACACAACGGCAAAATTGAGAGAAAGAGAGAGATGTTTTGTTTTCTATAGTTTAGCTTAAGCGCTACATAATAGAGCTCTCATCACCTTTCATTCTTGTATTTATGGTTGAGATGATAAAAATTTTGTCCAAATCTACTCTTTCTCTTCCCCCCTTTCTATTTTGTCTTCATCATCCTCACACACAAGTCCTCAAGATTACAAGTTGGTGCATAAAATAAGCCCTAGTATCATCCGCAGGACAAATCTGGATTCAACTATTACACCAAAAGATTTCTTGTTATTTAAGAGTTTGATTTCATTGTACTTAAAGATATAACGCCTAGTTTGCCATGACGCCTCAAAAACCTACTCAGTTAGCCCAATTCACATTCAACTCATGCTAAGTAGTGATGCATGCCCATCGACCTCTGGAAAAATCAATATGCAATTCTCTACATTAATGAGAATATAAGGCTCCAAATAAAACAAGTAGGAAATTTCCATACCTCTTCAAGTTGCAACCATGGGGCTGCCATCGCATTCTCTGGTACTCCACATCTGGCCGGCCGTGTTTAGTGCAAGCTAATTGATCCGACATATATGGACAACCACCCTCATCGTACAGTGGATAGGATACATTGTCATAAACCCATCTCCCAGTGAAAATATCACATTTTCTCTGACTGTTCTCCCTTCGCTGCTGATTTCTCGTGGAGGAGCTTAGCCTTCTCTTATAACTGCGAGAAGAAACGCATGCCTTAGCCCAATCCGAATCACCTGAAACCAGACCCCCAAAGAAAATATCTCAACAATCTCATCCAAGGAAATCCAGAAAGCGTACGAAACCGGTATCCATTTGACGGTTTTAAAGAACACCTAAAACGCTCAAATTTCGCAACAGTGTTTCGCTTTGTATTAATGGCATCAGAGTACAAAGGAACCAATCATTGTTTTCGAGGCATGAATTAAAATTTTTCAAAGAAACAAACCTAAAACCCTCGTTGATTTGTAGTTGGATGAGTTGGTGGTCAGATAGGTGGGAAATGAAGGGCGTGTGGCGGAATCTTCGTCCTGCATTCCCCCATGGATTCTGCTGTCGGTCTGATCATTGAGAAGAGAGAAGAGAACGAAGACCGAGAAGATAGCGAAGTAGAAGAATTGCAGAGCCCTTCTTCTACTCCACTTCAGCATTGCGGAGGACAAACAGAAGAAGGCTGCTTCGCTTTTTTTAGATCGAAGCTTCTCCCCTACACTCCAAAGCCTCGGTTGTTTAGAAAGCCTTCAACCAGTTTCCTACTTGATTTATTTTCTTAGGCTTTAAGATAGGATTTAGTATATCTAAATACTTATTTAGTAAATTTTAAGAGTAAATTTAAAAATTATTTGTCGTCATAAATATTAATTTTTGTTTCTTAATAATGAATGATAAATTATTATAGAATTCTAAGTTAGGACTTTAAAGATATAATTCTCTTTTTAAATCAATAGACCGTCACTTTTTTTTAATATTTTTTTTAATTTCGATAAAATATTTAACTATTTTATAAATTTGTTAATGATAAGATTTAATTAATAAAAAATTGAAATAAAATTTATCAAAAGATACCCGTTAATCCAATAATATATATATATATATATATATATAATCCACTAAAAATTTGCCACATGAATTGCACTTTGAGTAAAAAAAGTGCAGTCAAAAGCGCAGGTATATCGCAGGTAAAGTACAAGTAAAACGCAGTCAAAATGTACCTAAAGCGTACAGTCAAAATGCATTCCCCGTGCCAAGTTTTTATTGGATGACCGGACCTAATAATTTGCCGACATGTGCAAGACCCGCAGTTATTTTCTCCCCACTTAAGAGGTCGCGCCGCATGAGAAGGGATTTGAACATGGGTTGGGGGTTCCCAATAATGCTTGCCCACAAGCCCAGCTAAGCTCGATGGGGAGCTTAAGATTCCGTTTGAGATTATTTTGTAACTGTTTTTTAAAATAATTTTGTTGAAAAAATTTTATTTAAAATTTCTTTAAAAACCTATAAAAAAACTGTCCCATCAGTTAAAAAAAAACAAAAACAAATGTAAAACAATCAGTATTCTACAGTTGTTAACTAAACAAAATCACATGCATCTCGCATTAGTCGTAAGCTAGCGGGGATGACGCCGGAAATACGGAGGATGAAGACCGCAAAGGCTACAAAAATAAAGTAATAATTTTAGGTTGAATCGAATTTATTGAAAGAAAAATAGGATGCTTAATATATTTCTTTAATTTTATTTAAAAAATAAAAGTGTGATGAAAATTGATGATTCTAATTTTTCAACTTTAGAAAATAAGCTGAACCGTCCATTAATTTTCACCATCAACAAATGTATATATCTTTGAATTCTATTGTTGTATAAAATTCAAGTATAGGGTTAAAATCATATTTTTCTATGAATTTTTATAATAATTAATGAATAAATGGAGTATGCAAAGAGCCGTGAGAATATTGAAAGTTAATCTTGCTTTTTGACTAATGACAGTCGTATAATATTGTTATAATTTTTTATTTACAGTTTTAGAGTGTCTAAAATTTTCATAAACCTTATTTGGAAAGAGTATTTAAGTTATCTTACTACTAAAATTCCCTTAAATATCTTTTTTTTTTTCTTGTTTGATTTTATAGTAGATGTGTTACCAAAAATCTAATTGAACGGGCATGAATATTGATGTGCATTTGAATTGATGACCATCCAATTTCGATTTTAAGAAATTTATAGTCAAATTAAAAGTTTCAAGAAGTTGAGCTCAATCATACCAAAAGTGATACAATCCAAGCCTGAATGAGCTCAAATCAAGGGCCTGAAATATAGTTGAGAGTTTAAGGATATTTATTAGATGTCTAAATATCTACAAATTTAACATGCTTATAATTGAATTGAGCGTATCAGTGAGAAATCCAACGAGAGTGTGATCTCTTAATTTGAACATCATTAAGGAACTTAGATGATGAATTAATGCTTCATGCTCAAGGGAATATATAGGTCGTCTCATGGAATGTTTGAATTTTCTCTTATATATATGTGCATGCTACTATTAATATCTATAAATTAGCCCTGACTCTCCACATGAGGAGGGTGAGGAGCTTGGAGCTGGGGCCTAATTTTTTATTAGAGATTCAAGAAATCTTAAAGTGAACCCTCGTTAACCGACTACTATTGTCAAACTTTTCGCTAGCCGACAACCACCGTCAAACCTCGACTAATCAACCACATGTAATGACCATCATATGGTGTTGAACTATCTAAGATAACCTAAGATGAAGCTTGTAAGGATTTTATGTCCTATTGGTCTAAATTATTTTCTGTAAAATATTTTCTAAACATTAATATTTCTAAGCTGATTTAAATGAAAATAAGACTAATTAGAAGGTGCCCTTGGGGACATGTTGGTGTTGGCAAGACAACACTATGACGTTGTCCTTTTTATTTTGAACAATAAAATTCAATTTTGGAGGCGTTGTGGCACTAAGTTTTTGGGTTCCGATGTAATTAGATCTCTCCTTGGGACCACTGCTGTCACAACCCAACCCAATAATATTAACAAATGGGGCAGGCCCTTTTATGTTATTTTGCAATTGGTTGACCCCAAGATCTAAGTATGGAAAATTATTTAGATTTCTTGTCCATTTTTAAGTTTAAAACAAAACAAACCACAATGTTGCTAAAAAAAATTTAGTTTACAAAAAATAACTCATCCATAAAATTTCTTTCATTTATCATCAAATCTACATACAATAATTATAACAACAACAACAACAAGCCTTTATCCCACTACGTGGGGTCGACTACATGAATCTTTTTTCTCCATTGTGTCTTATTAAAAGTCAAATCCTCATTTAAATCTAATAAAGAAAGGTCATTCCTAATATTTTCTAACCAAGACTTTTTAGGTCTACCTCTACCATTAAATATTACACTACAGTACATTGACTATAGGCCAGAATACAAAACATAGTAGATTAAATAGTTAGTCATGATTGTACAAAAATTCAAAAAAAAAAGTACCTATATAAACTCATATCGGATCCTAAAAATTGCTACTTAGCATGCTCTTTCTCTTTTGTAGACCCTGAAAGCAGAAAGTGGAACAATTATGAGCTAATACAACTCAACAAGCTTCATTCAACTATCTAAATTTTTAAAAGAATCTGCTATTAAACATTTAATTGAGTGTTAAAAGTAAATAATAAATCACTGTGCTGGGCAGAATAGTAATTACAGATATAAGGAATTCAAACAACATTGCTAGAAAAATAATTAAAAAAGCAATCCATATCGCAGAGAAAAACATAGCAGATCTTCCTCAAGCTCTTATGCCTCTTATTAAATAAAAAATTAGGAAATTCTAACAGTTATGACTCTTAACATATAGAGTTTATTGTATTATGACCCTTATGGCTCTCGTTAAGTAGAATTCAGAAAATTCTAATACTTATGACTCATAATGTCCAATAATAGATTAGAGTGTGCGTATATCACCAGAATGTGCCCTTGGCATTAGAATATACATTTAGCACCAAAATAAAACATCCTCCATCCACTCTACTAGAGCTCCTGAAAATCATAAAATTTGATTCATTAAGCACGTAATTCATTGAATTGTAATAATAGGAATGTAAATAAACTTATTTTAGAAATTATCAAAATGTCATAATGTTAGGCAAAAAAATACAATATTGTGTAGAATTCACTATTTTAGAATGTAACAAAATTATCAGTGATTGTTCGAATACTATTTAAAGACTTTGTTGTAATATTTTATTATTCTTTAGAGTTAGTCTAATCAATTAAAATAGCATAATTATAAAACCCCATAGTATAAAATTTCTAGAAAAATACTTAAATATTCAAAATATTTGTCTATATAGCATACATAAAGTTACATGATTATAATTTTATAGGTGTAAAGTTATCCTCATATTTAGGCTACAAAAATATAAATTAAATCACAAAATTATAGAAATTTCTATATTTTGAAAAATAGAGATGGAGAAAATGTCACCTACCTCTATCCGAGCAACTTTCAGAACTAAGTCATCTTGCTTTCTCTCTCTAGAAATTCCTCTCTCTCTTACTAGTCAGTTGCCCCATTATAAATGGAAACCTTGTGCTGCTACATTGATTTAATTTAAAAATTTCCAGAGAGCTTAGTGTCGTAGCCCCACCTACCCAGCACTACAGCGCCTTTGGGGAAAATATTCATATTTCAAGAACATGCAATTAGATCCCCAATATCCACTTTAGAATATATGTAAACCTTCATATTTATACAAAACTCTTCCAAACACATGTAGAAGGGTTCAAAAATAGAAATTCAGTGAATTAGCTTTTTAAATCGAGTTAGAACATGTTGATTTATATACTGATCCCAAAGGTGTCACAACTCTTCCCTCCTCAAAAAAATATTATCGTCGATATTTCAAAACTTAAACTATTAGAATATATCAAGATACAACTACTTCTTCTCAGATTCCTTCTTCCAAGTAGACTCTCTTTTGATTATATTCTTCCACTGAACTTTAACCATTGGAATTTATTTATTTCTTAATTTCTTAACACCAAATCTATAATTATTTCTAGTTCATCTTTGTAACTCAGATTTGGATGAACCTTAACTTATTTTGTATAAATTCAATTTTGGGAATCAAATATCCACTTTCTCAGAAGTGACATATGAAATATGTTGTGAATGTTAGTCATATGATCTGGAAACTATAATTTTTATGGCATATTTTTTAATCCTTTCAATTACTTCAAAAGTTTGAACATATCTTGGAATCATCTTTCCTTCTTTCCCGCACCTGCTAATGCCTTTTATTAACCTAATTTTTATATATACAAAGTCTCCTACCTAAAACTCTATGGCTTGATGCTTGGCATTATAATATTATTTCTACCTATCCTACACAACTTTTAATCTATCCTTGATCAAATGAATCTTTTCAATAGCATCGTTAACTAAAACTGATCCAATCATATTCCTTTCATCCTCCTATGTCTAAGATAATTGGGTTCTGTACTTCCTACAATACAAAGCTTCATAAGGGGAAATATATATGCTTAATTAAAAGTTTTTATTATAAGAAAATTTGATTAGAGGGATATGATTCTCCTAACTATCACCAATATCTAGAACATATAATCTCATAATATTTTCTACAACTTGAATGGTCTTATCAGACTGTCTATTAGTCTAGCTATAGATGAAAGACCATAATAAAATTTAACTTAGTCCCTCAATTCTACTAAATATCC